CAATGTGTATGAATGATTTTGTAAAATTCAATGATGATATGAAGAAATAATTTTTTAAGAAATAGTATTTTTTAAAAAAATAATTATAAGTAAAGGTTAAAGAAAAACAAAAAACAAATTGGCTAAAGATTAATCAGCTCATATGAAATTCAAAAGAAACTGAAGAAAATTTTATAAAATCCACAGAAGCTAAAATACAACCTGAGTTAAACTTACGAGACTTTAGAATTCATTTCTGTAACAGATTTGTAATTCTTGTTATGTGCCATTGAGTGGAGTACAACTCATAGCGACTCTATGAACAAAAGATCTGAACCCAGTCCTATTCTGTGACATCCTCACATTTCCTGACACACAAGAGCCCATTGCAGAAGACATCTTGTCAATCCACCTGGTTTAGGGTCTTCGTCTCCTCCACTGGCCCTCCACCCTCCCCACAGCATATTCTTCTCCAAGGAATAGCATCTTTTAGTAATAGGTCCAAAGTATGTGAGGTAAAGCCTCATCATTCTTGCCTCCAAAGAGCACTTTGGTGCACCTTCTCCAAGACATATCTATTCATTCTCTTGGCTGTCCATAGGATGTTCAGTGTACTTCCCCAACGCCACAGCTCAAAGGCATCAATTCTTTTTCTGCCATTCTTATTTGTTGTCCAGGCCTCGGATGCCTAGCTTGTAACTGGAAACACTATGGCCTGAATCAAACGTACTTGAGTCCTCAAACTGATATTGCTACTGCTCAATAATTTGGGAAGTTCTGTAACTGCAGATTTTCATAGTGCAATGCATCTCCTTATTTCCTGACTCCTCCTACCAAGGGTGTAAATTGTGGATCCAAGTAGGATGAAGCTTTTGACAGTTTTGATCTCCTCTCTTGACACTTTCAATCTCCTCTCCATCCATTATGACATTGTCCAGTAGTAAGAATCTTTCTTTTCTTGGTAATGAGACACAATCCATACAGAAGACTACATTCCTTGATCTTCTGCAACAAGTTCTCCAAGTCCTCCTCTCTTTCAGCAAGGAAGGTTATGTCACCTGCATAACTCAGGTTATTGATGGGTTTCCCTCAAATTCTAATACTACATTCCACTACATAGAGTCCAGCTTCTCAGATAATTTCCTCGGCATGTAGATTTAACAGGTATGGAGATAGAATACATCCCTGACGCACTCCTTTCCCAATTCCAAACCATGAAGTGCTCTCCTGCTCCATTCACACAACAGCATCCTGATCAAAATATAGGTTCCTCATGAGCAAATCAAGTGCTCTGGGATTCTTATTCTTCTCTGTGTCAGCCACAACTTGTCATGATCCACATAATGAAATGCCTTTACATAATCAATAAAGCACAAATAGACATTCTTCTAGTATCCCTTACTTTCAGGCAGGATGTATCAAACATCAGCAATGATATCCCTGGTTCCACAGCTTCTTCTAAATCCCACTTGAACTTATGACATATCTTTATGTATGTACTTTCCAAGCCATTTCTTAAATGGTCTTCAGCAATGTTTCGCTTGCATGTGATATCAGTTATAGTGTTAGATAATTTCCACATTCAGTCGGACCACCCTTCTCAGGAATAGGAATAAATATAGACTCTTCCAATTTTTTGGCCTGACTGCTGTCAGGAGTAATTTCCTGGAATAGACCAGTGCATGCATCCAAGGCAGCATCTGTTAATCAAAACAAGTCAATTGGTAGCTCATCCATTCCTCTGGACTTAATTTTTGCCAATGCTTTCAATGTAGCTTCCACTTCCTCTTTTATTACCAGTGGCTCCTGTTCAAATGGTAAAAATGGAAATGAATATCAGAAAGAATGGATTTCATAAAGAAAAATCTAAATGGATGTCAGAAGAGAATTTTAAAGATTGCACTGGAATGGCGAGAGGTCAAATCTAAAGGAAAATATGTCAAACTGAAAGATCTGAACAGATGATTTCAAAGGGCAGCTCTGGAGGATGAAGCAAGGTATAATGGAATGTACAGGGAGCTAGAATTAGAGAATAAAAGAGGGAGAACTCACTCTTCATTTCTTAAGCCAAAAGAACTGAAAAAACATATTTAAGCCTCACATCGTAATGTTGAAAGATACTATGGGCCATATATTGAATTTCTCAGAAATCATCAGAAGAAGACTGAGGGAATGCACAGGATCACTGTACCTGAAAGATTTGATTGACACTGAAAAATTTCAGGAAATACCATATGATCACGAGATTTGAAGTTTTGAACATTAATTGCCAAAGACTAGATTAGTTATGGCATTTTATCTGGGGAAACACCCACAAAGAAGCCAAGTGTCGTTGTTGTTGTTATGTGCCATCGAGTCACTTGCGACTCATAGCGACCCTATGTACAATAGCCCTAAACTCTGCTCTGTCCTGTGCCAATCGCACTGTCTCTGACGCTCCCATCCCGGTTATCCCAGTCACTGAATCAATCCACCTCATAGAGGGCCTT